GAGGGTGAAAAGAAGGTTTTAACCTTGAAACAATCAACGATGGGATTTCTAGGGTCGTTTCTAGGTGGGTTTGGTGGTCGCTTGCTGATGTAGCCTGCAGCCCCTTTGGTGTTACAGGTGGAGAAATCAGAGCTGCACAAGATGAGAGCCTGGAGGAGTTGGTGGGCTTGCCTTTTCCTCACGTGAACTGGGCAGCGAAAAGTGCCAGTACGTTCCTCCAGGCAGGGGCGAGACGGTGGAGGTGAAGTTGATGTAGGTCACTGGAGAGGGAATTAAGTGGTTAGAAACCAGGAGGTGCTGTGGAATAAGAGTGGAAAAAGAGGTGCCGCAGCATAAGGGGTAGAATAAGAGCACTTGGCTAAAAAGGAGCCTTTGAAACCTGCTGTTGGAGGGCAGGCACAACGCACCCTGTGCCAAGGAGGTGCGTAGGTGGGTCTAACATGTCCCCTGTAGCCAAGGTGGTGTTGACCCTTGGGTTGGGGAGGAAGGGAGCATGTTGCACCTATTGCTGCAGTTTCTGCTGCGTCAGAGCCATCCTCCAGCATCACTCAGGCCCGGGGTGGATACGTGATCCTTCAGCTGGTAGGAGCTGTAGGACTGAGTCTGGGAAGCTGTGCTTCCCAGGATGCTGCTGGTGTGCCACTGCTGTGCCCCAGGACTGGGGGTTCCTCTTCCTGCTGTGCAGGGGACAGGCTCCTATCTCTCCTCTAAGTAGCCATCGCTTCTGGCAGGCTTTTTCTCTGGGTGAGGTTTGGATGACAAAAATGAAACAAGCTACATAACTTCCCGCTGACGGAGGTGGGAGATGCTTGTTCATGTCCTTGCTGCCCTGCGTGTTGGCTGAGCACTAGGAGTGGGGATTTGGGCAGCTAGAAAACAAGCTGCAGATAGCACAGGTAGCAGCTGCCCGCGGATCCTGGGCAGCCGTTGCGCTGTAGCGGCTTTGGGCAGCAAACCCCATGCTGCTGTGCTTTGCTCGCTCTGCCAGCTCTGTGTGGCAGCGGTGGAGGAGTTTGATGTGAGCAGGCACGCAGGAAAGCGGCTCACACCTCCCTCTGACACAGAGCTGATAAGTAAACCTGGGCTGATACTGTGGCTGGAGCCAGGGAGGGGGTTTCCCAAGCCCTGAAGAGCCCCAGGGCTGCAAACCAGTAAAGTGCTCCCAATAAAACCTATCAGGCCAAATTCCTATCAGGCTTAATCTCATTGTCTCATCCTAACAATTAGCTCCCTCCCAGCCCTGTTTTCCTGGCTAGTTTCTACCCCAGAGCTCTCACTGGGATAAGGGTCTTTGGCAGGCAATGTCATGAGTGCACACGTGCTGCTGAAGGGTAGCTGAGTCCTAGTACTGAAATCTCTCTTCCAGCCCGAAACGTTCCTCTGGGATCCCCTCTTGGCCGTTTCCCTCTTCCTGGGGAACGGCAATCACGTTTTTCAGCCTCGTGCATCAAGGTGGCAAGTCTAATCCAGCACAGATTAGTTTCAACCTAGTTTTACCCTCTAATGCGCTGGGCTGCGGGGAAGGAACTCTGCCTGCCGGAGAGCAGGTGCCTGCTGCTCCCATCCAGGGTGGGTACGAGCATCCCTCAGCCCCTTCCCAGTCCCAGCAGGGAGGGTGGCTGGCACCAAGCACTTAAACAGCCCAGTGAGACGTGGCCTGCCAGTTGGAGCCACCTTTTTGGGCAGCAAGGAAGGATCTGGCTTTGCTCAGGTTGTCTTGCAGGTAGCTGGGACTTGTGTGGCTGAATTTATTGGCTTAGAAAAGTCTCTCTGCCCAAGAAAGGCTGTTCAGGGCAGGAGCAGGGGAGAGGCGGAGGCTTATTTTTAAGCAGTTCTTATTAATAGAACGTGCCCCTTAAAATAGGAACTTTAGCAAAGGGCTCTAGGAGGAACTTCAGCCACTTGGGCTGAGTCTGAGTCACTGGCCCTGGGGACTGAATTTCTGTGTGCTATTGTGAGTGTTTGCCTTATCACAGTCACAGCCTGGCTTGCATACAATATGGAGGATGGAATGCCTTTGAAACATGCTCTCCCGTTGCTTCCTCCGGGTCTGGAGTAGAGCTGTGACGCTGGTCGGCTCTCCAGTTCCCCTCCAGTTGAAATGCAAGGGGACTGGGTGCGCTGTGTGTGCACAGTGTCACCCATCTGCTCTCATACCATGCTGCCAGGGGTTGTTGGACTCCTGGGCACGTGTCCCTCAGCCATCCTGTATGGCTGTAGCATTCCCTTCAGTCTTCACCATTTCTGTGCTGCTTCTTGCTCCTGGAGAAATACTGTGCTCTGCTCTCACATCCCCTCTCCTGCTGGTAGGTGGAAGCCGTCTGCCGTTCCTGCAGGGCAGGAATGAAGCTGTGACCTGGTGGCCAGGAGATGCTCTGGCCCTGTTTTTGTTCTCGGTGATGTTTGGCAAGTTCCTTCTGCAGAGGCTGTTCGGTGGCGATGGCAGTAGGTAACACTACTCCGCTCTCTGATGACTTCTGCTGCTGGCTGAGCCCAGGTCTCAGTGCTGAATTGGGCCCTTTGTGCTGGGCTGGCAAATGATACCCCTGGCTGGAATTAACTGAGATAAATGAAATTGAGTTGGCAGAGGAGAGCGAAAGAAGGAACTGGGAACATTGCTTTTCACCACAGCTCTAGATTTGAGTTGGTGTCCATGGTGATAAGGGAAGTCTGTGTCACGCTGGTTTAATGGGCATGGTCTCTGGTGTCCCATCTGGAGTTTGTGGGATGGGAGGAGGGGAAGACAGTCACTTCTGTCCTAGTGGGCTTCCGACAAAACCTTAGTTCAGCTGCATGTGAAGGACTCGCCAAAGCAGTGGCTAACTGGCAGTGAAGGTTTGAGGCATTTGGACTCCATGGGCAGGTCCAGACTCCCCTGTCCCAGTGGGGAAGGAAGGAGCGACTCCAGGCGTGTGGGCTGGAGGGGCCTGGAGCACGTGCTGCAGGGTTAGGGTGGAGGGCAGCGATTGAGCATGAAAGGCTTTGGGCTGGCTCTGTGGCAGCAGGAACCAGGCATCGGCTTGGGGCTGCAGTGCTGCTGGAGCTGGCCCAGCAGCCAGACTGGCACGTTCATCACACCTGGGGATAGCTGGTTTCAGTCTTCCTTCTGGAAGAATCATAGAATTGTTTAGGTTGGAAAAGACCTTTAAGATCATCCAGTCCAAGAAATGAGAACATGCTCTGGAGGCTGGAGGACATTTGGGTTACTGATGGCTGTGTGGACCTCCTGCAGTCCTGATGCCCTAGCGTCTGCAGATGGGGCTTTTTTTGGGGGTGTGTGGTCTCATTAATCACAAATGATGCTGCCCCAGTACTACCAGTGCCAGAGATCCTAGTCTCTTGGGGACGCAATCCTGCCTTCCTTGTGAGCATGGATAACAGTGGTGAGGAACACGTGCCCAGAGTAGGGAACAACCTCAGTCCTCTATCCACTCGAACCCCTGGAGGGGTGTTATCCTGGACAGGCAGTGCATAAGCTGTGCAGATGTTAATGATTTCTGCTCTGAAGAATGCGGTGTTGTTGCTGAACACAGATCAAGTCATTAAGCTGTGCTGGGCTCACTGGAGCTAGGCGGTGTGGGAGGGTAGAGACAGGAGCAAGACCCTGCTGCTCGCAGCTGTGGGGGGTGTTGCTGGCAGGGCATAGCTGTGGAGCTGGCTGTGCAAGTTGTGGTCTGTTCTCTTGGGTATCTGAAGGCTTTTGAGGTGGGGCTAGGGACAAGGGACCAGAACTGACCCAGGGTTTCCTCTCCAGCCTGAGCAGGGTAGGGGGAAAAATAGATAGGCAGTTGGAGAGAGTGAGAGCCTGTTCCTTAACCCAAAATACCTGTCCTCTCTTGGGTGCATGATGTTCTGCAAACTTTGCCTGTTCTATTTGCTAGCCCTCAGAGTTTATCCAGGAGTTTGAAATCTCTGAGATCAGAGTGCTTTTTGTAAGGAATAGGAGCCCTTGCTGGGAATAGGTGCCCGATCCATGTGTTGTGCATGCTTAAGCAGAGATACGGGGAGCGGACACCTCGGGTGAGCAAGAAGAGGGAGTTTCTTGCAGTTGTTTCAAAGGCACATGGGGTCCAGTCCTCCCTCAGGCTGTTGGTGGGAAATCTGAGACACCAGAGGCATTCCCCTTGCGCTGGAATGTTAATGACAAGGTGTGGAGGGATTCGACCCATTTTCAAGCCTCCTGGCACTATTGCTCAGATGTGGCTCTCTGGGAATTGCGTAGGTCTTCTGGGTAATGCTGCATGCGTATGTGCCCTCTAGGGTGTTTTCCTTCATATCTTTAACCTTGGGGATACTCTTTTTTTTTTTTCTGTTTTAGGAATTTCTCTGTGACCCAAAGTTCAGTGATGAAGAAGATCTGGAGGAGAAGTTGGCATTGTTCAAAGGTGAGAACTGGATGGTTTTCGTGTCCTGTTTCAGCCTATTTGCTCTGAATAGATTACTTTCCTCAGCACTTGGATGTTACCAGCCTGACATTCTGTGCCAAATACAAGTGACTGAGCTGGGATGGATGCCTCCCCCTTGCTTGTGGGATTCGCTGAAACTCCCTGGAGAGGTGGTTTTCCCACATGAGCCTTTGTGCTTCCCCCACTTGCAGGGCAGGGACATGTCACCCTGCAGACATCCTGCCTGGCGGCTGCTATTACTGCAAAACCTGCTGCGTGGGCAAAACCCTGGGGAGCAGCAAAGGAGGACGGTTTCTGTCTAGATACCTAGACAAGCTAGCTGGTATAATGGGCAATGCAGTAGCTGGACTTTTTTTTATTTTTTTCAGTGAGTAGGAGGACCTCTTCCCACAGAGCAGAGGTCTCAGCTGCTTCTTGAAGGAGTTGGGGCCTTTCTTTCCCCAAAAGTTTCTTCAGTCTGATCTGGTCCTTCCTGAGGTCCTTGGTACCAGAAGAAACAGCTCTCTAGTCCTGGCCAAAGCCTGTCTAACTCCAGAGGGTCAGCAGATCTGGGGCTTAGGTTTGGGCCATTTGCTGGGATGGGGGATAGAGAAAAAGCCTGGGGTCCTCTGGAGCTTGTCCCCAAAGTGGTTACAGGACATGATTCAGCAGGGCTGTTCTGGGTACTTCCACTTTCTTTCCAAGCGGTGGCTGAAGGCAGTTGAGAAAACATGCCTTCTGCGTCACAGTGCCCTCAAGGTTTGTCCTCAGCCTGGCTCTAACCAAATAAAGCCTGACCTTGTTTCCATTTCAGGTGTTGTCTGCTATTTCCCTTTGAACTTTGGCTTTGCAGTCTAGCATGGAAGAATCTGGCTAGCTTTTTGTGATCCTTTACCCTGCTGGGACAGAGGAGCCTCCTGTGCTCCCTGTTCTTTTTCTGTTGCCTTTTGTATGGCTTTGGCTTTTGGCTGCAGCCCCGCATTATTTTTCCCATCACAATTGGGGCTCTTCAAACATTGCAACTGTAGGTCACAGGCGCAGAATTCCCTGTAACGAGAGCCCTTGGCATCTCCTCCTGCTGCCTCGTGAGTTTGCCTCCATGGCCTGTCCCACTCTCCAACACCTCCTCTGGCTCCTCCAACAATCAGCTCATTGTGTGATGACGGCGGGAGCGTTTCTTCTCTGCCGTCCTTCCCACTGCCTGCCCCCAGCCGGGCCCGGGGAGCTCCTGTGCGGTGTTTGTGTAAAGGCATTTGTGAGGGGAGGGACCACGCATGGTTTTGCCCCACCAAATCCCTGCAGCTGGGATGGGAGGAAAAGATGAATGTGCGAGCTGAGGCTCAGAGCACGATGATGTAAAGCTGCCTCTGTTCTCTGTGTGTTTGGCTAAGCATCAGCTGAGAAGAAAAGAAAACATGTGCTGGGCACGGACACGGCAGAGCAGGGTTTTTGTCCCCAAGCACATGCTGTGGTGCCTGACCCCTGCCCAGGGAGGTGGCAGTTCATCAGCACAAGGTCATTATGGTGGGGCAGAGTGTGGGGAGAGCCAGTTCCATATCAAGCATCGCTTTGGCCCCTAACCACATGTGTGACAGCCCCCATTTCATCTAGGATCTGTTGCTTAATGCTTGAAGGGAGACATTTATTCCTGCCTGAAGCATGAACAGCTTCAGCTTGTACCTGGTACTTCCGTAGGTCTGTCCTAGTCAGCTTGTGACAGTAGTAATCTACAAGCTGAGACCCAGGTGAAGATGTGCCAAGCCATTCCTGTCTCCTGCCTGTAGCTGCCAGTCTAGTTAACTCGGCACTGTCCTTCAGAAGCACTGTCCTGGGAAGGCTCCGATGTATGAAATATCCACTCTTCCTTTTGGCTCCTTAAATTAGCCTGCCACTTCTCTGTTCACGCTCATCTGCTTGCTGGTGTCCCTGGAGCACAGGCAAAAGGTCTTTTCCCTTGGGGGAAAGGAACAGCCTGGGAGCTCTCACTTAATTTGAGTCCTCTGAGGCTGTTCTGGGGAGTGCTAACTGCAGGGCAAGTGGAGATTTCTCCAGCGCAGCGTGGACAGGTGGTGGCAGCAGGCATCTTGCTCTTCTCATTTAGCAGAACTGAGATGGTGGGGGGCCCCCTGCGGCGCTAGGAGCTGCATGGTCTGTCAGACAGACAAATCCTTGCCTGAAGAGCTTAAAGTCTAAATGGGGAACAGCTAGCAAGGGAGAGCCGGGGGGGGGATAGGAAGCACAGGTGTGCCACTCCAAAGGTCAGAAGCAGCACAGGACTGAAATCCTGATTTTTCCGACTCAAATCATTGCTCTGTCTGTTACGACATGCCAGCTTTTGTCCTGCAAAGCTAATCAGACCTTCTTGAGCAGGCTCTCTCTGCCTTTCTCTGAGGATGCTGGAGTTGCCTGATTTGGCAATGTTTGACAGCAGACTGGAAGGGCAAACAGCCTGCTCCAGCATAACTGCTCCTAGGCATGTTCTTGGCTTCGCCCTCTTGATGTGGTCCTTGAGCATCTCTGCTGGTAAGTGGGGCTCTGGGAGTGCAGCGCAGCGTTGGGAGGACTGTAGAGTCTGTCCCTTGCTATTGCAGGCAACTAGGTCATTTAATCCCCCTCTTAATCTCGATCAAGCTTCATCTTGGGAGTGCTCAGAATTTTGTTTTCCTTGCTACTCCTTCTGGGAGGCTGTTCCAGAGCTTTGTTTTTCTGGCTGGAAACCTTTTAACGCTATTCATGGCTAGCTGATACCTTGTCCTGGTGCCAGTGTTTTCCTTCAGCTTAAATGAAAAGCAGCCACAATTAAAGAGCACTTAACTCTAGAGCCCTGGAACTGAGATAAGGGTGCTAAAACCAGGTCTTGAGATGGTTTCCCCCTCTGAACTGCTTGTATTCAGCAGTATATCAGTCTTCTCCCTGAATCTTTTATTTCATTGCTCTAAGCAGGCAGTGCTCCAAAGCCCTGCATACCCCCTGCTCTAGCGTCCTGCTAACTTGCTTCTGTGTCTCTTCCAGAGAAGTACATGGAGTTTGACCTGAACAACCAAGGCGAGATTGGTGAGTGACTCTGAGGGATGCTGGTGCTGGGCTGGAAGAGCAACAGCGTGCTGAGGTGGTATCCGCTGCTTCGCTCTGCGTTTGTGTTGTTGAGGAGGAAAACCTATGGGCCTTTCCCGTGTCCAGCCTTCCTTGGATCTTGATTGCCAGCCAGGGGCTTCCTTGGCTCTCCAGCCCCTGCCTCTCAGCTTCCTCAGTCTCTCCTCACTTGCTTCAAGATCTAAGCTGTTCTCAGTCCTGTTCTCCCCCTGAGTCTCTGCTTAGCTCCTCCACTTCTTTCTGTTCTAAGTGCTTTTTTTCTTCTCCCAGTTTCTCCACCAAGGCTGCCTTCTCCATCATCAGCATTTCCAGAAATGGGAAGCCACAGGGCTTGGACAGTCCTGGGTTTGCCTGGCTTGAGGTGGAAGCTGTACAAAACCATACACTAGAAATAGTGCAGAAAAGCTCTTTGCTTTGCTGGGAGGGGAGCGGAGGGAAGCAGGGGACTTGGGTGTGAGTCTGGCTCAGCTGAGCAGCCCTGGTTTGGTCCCAGAAGCACCAGTTACGTTAAGATCCAGTCTTTCTGCAGGCCTGGAGCTGACACTGAAGTGCAATCACTCACACGCTGCGCCCTTCCTTGCTCCCCTCCTCCACCGGTTCTCGACCCGAAGTGAAGCCTGTGGGGAGCTGGAGGAGGCCTGACTCAGGGCTGCGCTGCCGTTTCCGGGAGGGAAGGGGCCGCAGGTCTCAGCGGGCAGCAGAGCAATGGAAGGAAGTGGCCTGTGGCGATGGGCAGGGGCACCCGCTCTCCACAGGCTGTTTGTCTCCAGCTTTAACCCTGGCGTTGCTTCCCTCCTCCCTATCCTTGTGATTCTTGGCAGCAGACTCTGAGCTAGAGAGCAGTGTCCCTACGTGTCTCTGGAGCACTTGAAGAGTTGCCTCTTGTGCGTGCGTGGTGCTTTTATCTTGAGCCGCGCGAATGGGAAGTGGTGCTCTGTACTGGGCAGTACAGTACTGGAAGGCTTCTCTTGGCTTTCAGCAACAGCTTAGTGCTGTCAGCCTCAGAGTCCGCAGGTGAGGTGGTCTGAGGTGGGAACTCATGCCTGTATCCCTGCGGTTGGTCTGTGCTCAGTGTGGTCACCTCTTGACAGCACTGATTGCATTGCTCTTGCAGATTTGATGTCTGTCAAAAGGATGATGGAGAAGATGGGGGCTCCGAAGACTCACCTAGAACTGAAGAAGATGATCTCTGAGGTGACTGGAGGGGTTAGCGAGACCATCTCGTACCAGGACTTTGTCAACGTGATGCTTGGGAAACGCTCTGCTGTGCTTAAACTGTGAGTGTGCCTGGGAGGGAGTGGGGGAGATGCAGAACCTGAGCTGGCGTGTTGGGGGAGCTGGGAAGCAGAAGCTGTTCTGTGTGGTGGAGGTGGAGCTGTGCATGCTTGGTGTTCGTGGAGGGGGGGACGAGGACGCTTGTGAAGGGGAGAGTTTGCAGAGAGACATGAGAGGGTGTAAAAGCCCATGCCTGGGCTGAGCAGTGGCGAGTGCTCACAGCAGAGCTGTCCGCTGCGTGTTAGCGCAGGCTTCCTCCCACATGCTCCATGCAGAGCGATTCTCCCCCTTCCCTGAGGGATGTGCAGGCACTCAGCACTGCAGGACTTCTTCCCATCTCTTCCCTGTGGTTCCTGCTGGCTTTGGGGACACAGGCTTCCCCTGTGAATGGTGGCAGGTCTTGAGTGGTGAATGGTGGTCCTGCCAACACCAGTTGGCTGGCTCCTATTTCCTGCAGGATGCTCCCTCGCTGCCCGATTTTGGAGAGATGGAGATGGGACACATGCTTGAAACAGCTGGCTTGTGCTGGGAGAGGTTTTCTGCAGTACAGGCTGCCAGTACTAGCCTCCCACGGCCCCCTGTGCCCTCTCCACAGGGCTCTGAAAGTCCTGCTGTAACAAATGGCTTCTGAACACTTGCTTGGCTCCATCTCCACCCCATTGAAGCCTGGCTTTTCCTTTCACAGCCACAGAGGCTGGCCCTGCTTTTGTGTCTGTAATGACCATGAATAGGAGCTGCTCCTCTCCATCCCCCTTACCCTTTTCAGAAGGCAGCTTTAGAAACACAGCCAGCTTTTAGGGCAGGTTGGGAGGAAGGATCTCGCTTCCACCTCTCACGTGGTCCCTCTAAGCTGGTACGTGCTTGCTGGCGATGAGTCTCTCCTCTCCCCACTGAGTGCCCTGTGTCTATGTGTTGGGATGCTCCTCTTCCAAGCACGCACAGACTTCTGACACCCCTGTTCCACCTTTCTTTCTCTGCAGAAGCAGGCTGAGCCTGCAGCCTGTCCCATATCTTCTATCCTTCCTCCCAACTGCAGCAGCTTTCACAGCTGGGTCCCTTCTTTTGCTAACAGATGCCCCATTGTCTGTTGGACTCTTTAGAGCAGGAGCAGAAATGTAAAACTCGTCCCAAGAGCAGCGCAGTCCTTTGATCCAGCGTGGCAGCTGGCATTCCCAGCGTAGCTGCAGTCCTCAGGGAGGAAGCCAGTGCTGGTGGTTGCAAAATGCTTGGGATTCTTCTAGCCAGTGCCTTGCTCCTTGTCTGTGCTCTCTTTCCTGGCTGTAATTGCTGTTGCTTGCTTGGTGTTGGCTTTTGAATGTTCTGCTGTGTGCTTATGTACAAGGTGGGCCAGCAATGGTATTTGCTTTTACGCATCAGGAGCACTTGGCATGCAGTGTGTGCCCAGGGGATTTCAGAAGTGGCTGTCTAAATAAAACGTGCTAATCCTCTGGGCTCTGAGAGGAAAACCAGCAGAGGCTTTGGGAACCTGCTCCTGGAAGCTGCTGGAAAAGCAAAGCAAAGCTGGCAGCACTGCCCTCTGTTGTCTTTCCTTCCTCTGTTAATTATCGGATGCCCTTTGCATAGAAGGCAGATGCTATTTTTCAGCAGATAAGATAATCCCACCCTCAGTGACGGGTAAAGATGCACCTCCTTGTTTCATTGGTATTATCTGTTGTGTTTTGCAGGGTCATGATGTTTGAAGGAAAAGCCAATGAAAGCAACCCAAAACCTTCTGGTCCGCCTCCAGAGAGAGACATAGCCAGCCTCCCTTGAAGAGGACAGGCTGAAAAATTGGCACTGTTCGCTTTGCTGGTCTGTAACAGAGGTTACCTGTGCTTTGTTACTCTTTACTGTGAACAGTCCTAGTTTTCAACTAACCTGCCTTAGAGGAACAGCAAGGGAAGCTGGAGACCCCCAGCTCACGTCTTTCTGCTGCATCCCTTAGCCAACTCAATTTGTTAGACAGAAGCTGTAGCACCACGTGTAATGTGAGACCAAAAAAAATAATCCTGTGATCTTACTCTTTCCTCTGCCCTTCCTGCATTTCTCAGACGAGGAGCTACTTTCCTCCCAGCGTATGGATTCAGAGCCGTGCTTGTCACAACAGGTTCCTAAAGGGCCTTGCTGCCAGACATTGCGCGCTTCTCTGGCAAAGCACCCGACAGCAGCTTCATGGGTGCAAAGAAATAAGTGCCTTCTCTGCTCCGTCCTACGCTTCCTGACTTTTGGACTAGTTCTTCCCCTCCTGGCCTCACCGAAAGACAAGTCAGGCTCCCACCTCTGTGGCCTAGTTGCATGCTAGGTGAGCACGGGAAGGTGCATGGCCACACAGGTCTGCCTGCAGGGACTTTAAGCTCGGAGGTGGGCACGGCTGACTGCAGGGACAGCTTCTGTCCGCTCCCTGGCTTCGTCCTGCAGTCGGATCTCGGTGGGTCCAACACCAGCCGCTGCAAGCGAGGATGCTTAAAGCTACCTTAGGGGCCCCCTTCCTGGTAAATCTCTACTTGGATCCGATCGGGAGCGTAACCTCTGAACGGGTGGTTGTCTGTCCTGTCCATCGAGTGTAGAAACAAGCCTGCTGCTATGCCTTTGCAGCCCCTCAGGAAGGCCTAGGGGAAGTTGAACCTTCAGGTGAAGGGAAGCTGGGTGGCTAAACTGTGAGCCCTGCCAGACCAGTTGTGGATGAGGATCTGTCCTCACCCGGCTGCTCTGTCCCTCTGATTTTTGCAGACCTCTCTGTACATCTTTCAGCGTGGTCCCCTGGAGCTATCGGGTACATTTCCCTGGGGAATAAGCCCTCAAGTCTGCAAAATAAGAATGGCTGCAGGTGTGGAGTGTGAGCTGGGATCCAAATGTAGCTGGGACTGTGCTATCCACACTCTGGTTACTGCGGTGATTCTTGCTCTATACACAATTTCTGGAATCCAGATGTTTGCTCTTTGCCCTTTCCCTACTCTTTTCTTAAATGTTCTTGGCAGCTTTTAACTTTTTAAAAATCATGGTTTAATACATTTTTTTAAAGGAAATACGGATGATTAACTCTACTAGGCTGATTATTCCTGCCAAAGGCTGCACTTTTAAATAAAAAGAAAAACATTCTCACTACTGTTTGCATGAAAACCAAAACTGTAATGGAGAGAAAAAATTATGAGCAAAAGTAGCACCCGTCTACTTTAAGGACTGAAAATAAATCTTCCGAAGCTACACTGTGTGTGAGTGTATTTAGTTTAGCTCCTGGTTCATGTGATTGGTTGCAGATTAAGTGAGCTGGTTTCCAAGTCTGTTAATATAAACCCTTAAATAGATCCTGGAGATAAGTTTGGACTGTCTTGATCTGATCTTTGTCTGTAATAACTGACTGAATGCCATGGAGTTTGTTATGAAATGCAGAGGCCACCTCCTGAAAACTGTCTTTTTTTTTTTTTTTTTCACTTACTGAAAGAAAGCAGGCGGTGGTGCTTGTTTTAAGGAGTAACTTGTTTATCAAGAGCAGACACTTGTAATGCTTCTCTTGAAAGACTTTTTTTTTTTTTTTTTTTTTTTGGTCCTCTCTGCTCTTGAAGCAATTGCCTGAGGTGAGTTATCAAAATGGAGACCAAGCTTCCTGGGGGAATGACTGGGTACACTTTTTCCAGGTGTTCCTCAAAAGGACAGAATTGCCCTTAGATCAGAGCCCTGTGTCTGCTTTCTGCTGCCTGTTAGCCTCTAGGAACGCTCCTGCTCTTCTGGGCTATCTGTGTTAAAGCTGTTGTTCAGTTAGAAAATGAAGGGAGCGTATTACAAGAGGGAAATTTGGATGTGGTTTGCCACAGTTCAGGTCACTGCCCGAAGCCATCACTGCTTTTGTCTCCGTGGAAATCCTTGTCCTTCTGGTCCTGGAAAAGAGAAGCACAACCTGCTAAAGCTGGAAACAGCCCTTCTCAACATGTCCTTGTTTCCACAAGGCTAAGTGCTGAGGTGACACACCCCTCTGCTGGCACTGTGAGTCGGGGCTGAACCCCCCCGAACTTGAGGCAGAAGGGAGCAAGGAAAGAAACCGAGGTCCTGCTGTGACCAAAAATACACATGCTGCTTTCGTGGGGCCCTGGAGCACAATCCCTGCTCACGGAGCTTCCGTCTTTCCAGCTCAACTGCACGTAACTGGAGGCGTTCAGGGACCGACCCCAAGCGCTGGAACGTGTGCTCCGACTGCAGCCCACGCTAAGGGAGTGGGATTTGCTTAGAGCTGCAGCAACGCTGGACCTCTGCTGTGGAAAAAGCATCGAAGCCCCTTACCGAGGGTCGATGGACAGGGTGCAGCAGCTCCCTGCCAGCCTCCAGCACTGCGCAGCTGGGAGAGCCGGCGTGCTGGCAGCCAGGCCCCATCCCCAGTGGGGTCCGTCCCCTCGGGCCCTCTGGGGGCAGCCCCATCAGGGTGGATCTCCTCAGGGGGAGAAGGGCCAGCACGTGCAGCCTGCAGCACCCACTGCGACCGGGTGTCGTGGTTTAGCCCCAGCCAGCAACTGAGCACCGGGCAGCCGCTCGCTCACCGCCCCTGCCCCAGTGGGATGGGGGAGAGAATCGGAGGAGTA